AGCTCTTCAGCTCAAGGCTAGCACTCTACCACTTGAGCCACAGCACCACTTCCAGCTTTTTTCTTTCTGCTTATGTGGTGCTGAGGAATCGAAACCAGGGCCTCATGCTTGCAAGGCGAGCACTCTACCACTGAGCCACCTTCCCAGCCCTATCACTCAGTTTTTTAACAACATTGAATTGTATATCTTGCCTTATCAGTAACTAGATAAATGGTTATATATTAGAAATAGATGTACTAAAATACATTTAACTGTTAGTTTCATATATTATTAGAAATACAGTACATAGTGGAGGTGTGGCTCAATGGTAGAGCTCCAGCCTTAAATGAAAAAGTCAAGTGAGAGCACAAAGCCCTGACTTCAAGCAAAACAGCAAAAAAAAAAAAAAAGAATATAGTAAATTCATGTACTCAAAAGATCCTAACATTCTCATATTCCATGTTCATATTCCTAAAGCTTCTTTCTCACACTGAATATACTGCTTTTAATGATAAGTAAGTATTTTAAGCTATTACATGGCGGGCACGTTGTCTTTAACTGTTTTATTGCGTTTGCTTTTATTTCTGTGGAAAAAAGAAAAAAAATGGATGTGCTCCATTAGCGATAAAGGAACACAGCATTGGCTACCTTTATAATTGGCACAAAGATAAAAGCACTCAGCATTCTGAATGCGGCTAATCTAGAGCTGAATCACAGGCTCACTGAACCCAATCCATTCATTGGTATTCAATCATCAGAGATGAGAACAATGGTAAAAGAACATGTACAAAATACTGGAAGTACAAATTACCAAGGGCTGAGTAGAAAGGAAATGTGTGATAGAAATTTTATCTTTCTTTGTAAAATTCCTCTGGAATAGATCTCACTTTTTTAACCTTCATACTCTCACTTTCTATAATTTTTTCAGAATTCCATTGGGTCAAAGAAGTACTATCTATATTACATATTTATGTGCTCATCTCTGCAAGATAAATTCCTATGCTTAACAGAACAATAGGTAGGCATGTATTTTAGACACTGTATAAACTTACCAGGCTGCTATTGAACAGGGTGTTAGCTACACTGTCATCACAATGCCCAGATTGCTTATCTCCACCTGCACCAAGGCTGACTGAGCTAGAGCTTTTCATCTGTGACAATCCACTACTTACTATTCCGTGTTTCTTTGATGTTGAGAACTGTTTTTCTGTTCTCTTACATAAGAAATTCTGATAAAGGTTCTGATAGAGTAGTTATGAGGGTCATGTAGTTGAATATATGTAAAATTTTAGGACAGTACCAGGCATCTGGTAGAAGTTACGTTCTTTTTAAGTGTTGATTTCTTTTGAAAATTCACTATTTTAATCCTTTGTTCGTTCTTTTAAATGTGTCCCTTTGCTCATTTCTTATTGACTTAAATTAGGAGTTTGTGATAAGAAAAGCTATTCACTGCCAATCTATTACATCCTAATGTATATGAGTTTGTTTACAGTACATATATATGTATATGTGTATATATATATATATATATATATATAGTTTGTTTGTTTGTTTGTTTTGATTGGTCATAAGGCTTGAACGGCTTGAACTCTGGGCCTATCCCTGAGCTCTTCAGCTCAAGGTTAGCACTCTACCACTTGAGCCACAGCACCACTTCCTGTTTTCTGATGGTTAATTGGAGATAAGAATCTCACGGACTTTCCTGCCTGGATTGGCTTTGAACTGTGATCCTCAGATCTTAGCCTGCTGAGTAGCTAGGATTACAGGCATGAGCCACCAACGCCTGGCTTTTATAGTATCTTTGTAATAAATAGATAAATGCATCAACAGGAACTCTGCTGTAGGCATCATGTTTAGAGGCTTTGTCTTCTCCAGGTATATACTGAAGTCTCTCAAGATTTTACTCTAATACTTCTGTAGTTTTATTCTAAACAGCTCTTTAATTCAACTGCAATTATTATTTAAGAATGTTTGGCAAATGTTTTCCAACAAACATGTATTACTTTTGTAATTAGAAAACAAGTCAATACTCCAAATATTAGTGCTGGAATCAAACCACATTCTGACTGTATGTGCCAATTTCCAACTGGCCAGGGCAACAATGACTTTGATTTGCATAAAAGCTAAATGTTGTAATTAGTTCACAGTTAAGAATGGCTTCTATTAACATTCTCATTTGCATAAATTACTAAGATTTTGTTATGGCAGGGTCAATATAATTTTTCTGAAAATAGCCAAATAGTAAATGTTTTAGACTTTGGAACCATGACAACTACTCGGCTTTCTCACTGCAGCTCAAGGACAGCACAGACAACACCTGTATGAATAAATATGCCTGTGTTCCAATAAAACCTCATTTATTTCACATGAATTGTTTATGTCTTTAATTTTATCTTATTTAAATCTTCCTTAGTAACTAAGGCACCTTCCAAGTTATTATCTATCTTCTAGTAATGAGGCTTAATTCTAGAAGGTCAATTCTTCTCTTAGAAGCTATACAGAAACAACTGGCTTTCTTTCACTTTTGACTTTAGCACATTGTCTAGAATGGCACTGTTCAATACAATGTTCAGCACTGGTGGAAATGTTTTATGTCTGTGCTTTCCACTATGGTGGCTATTAGCCATGTATTATTGAACATCTGAAATATGGCTAGTGTTACTGAGGAAATGAGTTAATTTCATCTTAATTCTAATTAATTTAAATGTAAATAGTCTTGTGAGGCTGACTACCACTGCATTAGACATTGCTTGTCTAGAGACTGAACCCAAAAACCCAAATAAAATCGTACAGCTCTGTGTGTGTGTGTGTGTGTGTGTGTGTGTGTACACGCGCGCGTGCGTCTGTGGTGTGTGTTTCTAGGGACCTGAATCTATATATTTAATATAGTCATAAAAACAATTTTTGCTTCAGTGAAAAGTGAGAGACTACCTAGATTTTCATTCTAAAGGAATCTGTTCTAAGCCTTCTGAAGACCAACTAAATAATGACAGGAATATCTGCTCAAGTCCTGTTAGCTTCCACACTAAGCTACACCTACCTACATCTTGCTGTTCCTCCTTGCAAGATCCTATACCTTTTTTCTAATCCTTTCTTCCCTATGCTCACAGAGCAAAAATAAAAATACCAAAATGGCCTAAGAATATGCTGCCCTGTTGTCATTATTCTCAGATCCCAAATGCTTTTCTCAAGATGAACACACTTACCATCAGGTCTGGCTGGCTGTTCCGGGTTGTGATGGACAGCTCGATGGTGGACAGCTTTACGTCATTCCAGACCTCTGGGCTCACCTCTTGGGAAAGGGCTTTGGGAATCCGTCAGACACAGGTCAGCTTCTTCCACTGATACTACCCCTTCCCACCACCTGAGCCCTTCCTGCCAGATCTCCACCTTAGCTTTATTTCATCCTTCAAAGGTGAAATGTCAGGCTAAAAATGGAATCTTTATTCCAAGAACACTCCTACCAAAAACAGCCACAATCACATAAATGTCAGCGACAGAGAGAGGGTACAGGAAGGCTGAATTAACACCTTCTCCTGCTCAGTTACATATGTAAGGCTGATTTTGGAGGTCTGCCTGAGGCCATTTCTAAACTGAGCAGGGCTTTCCAATCTGCAATCACCACACTGCTCACCATCCTGTGGTTGTGCCCAGTATGAGGCGAGCCTGCGGAGGATTCTCCTGTACAGAGAGGGCCGGGGAGGGATTTCTTCTGGTTCACTGGGTGGTCTCTCTTTAGGCCCTGTGTAGGAGATGGAGGCTTCGTGAGTCTGAGGCCACTCCTGTTAATGAGAGAAAACAATCTGTCATGCACATATAGTTCCTACTAACCTTGGGAGCTTCACTTTGCAAAGGTTTAAATTCTAGCTTGTCCTGAGAATATGGTAGTAACTTCTTCAACAGAATTCTCTCTAATTTGGAATAGGGAATCCTCCAGAGTCCTTTCCCCCTTATCTTCTCTTGAAAATCATGAACGCCACGACTGCTGCCTCTGTTGCACTCCCTAATACACACGAGAGAGAAAACTAGTGGACTGAACACTATTGTTTACATTTCTTAAGAAAAAAGAAGAGGTGGGAGAGAGGGAGGGAGGGAGGGAGGGAAGAAAGGAGGAAGGAAGGAAGGAAGGAAAGAAGAAAGGAAGGAAGGAAGGAAAGAAGAAAGGGAGGGAGGGAGGGAGGGAAGAAGGAAGGAAGGAAGGAAGGAAAGAAGGAAGGAAGGAAGGAAAGAATCCATGAGTGTTTATCCTGTGACATGAAATTGAAACTATTAAAATCTAGTTGCCTCAAATATCTACCTCACCTCTGGAATCACACTCTACATAGAAGCCAAAATGGTTCAGCTCAGCCTCGCAATCCAAATCCAGCCCAAGGCCTCTTGCAGCATCAAAGCCCATCATTCTCACTGGAGGTTCTGAAATCTACTTTCTAGCACCCAAATCCAGTAACATCTTGGATCCATCTACAGGAAAAACTAAAACCACCCTACAGATTTTTAGCCTAGTTCGATCCTGACTCTCATTACTATGCCCAACTATTCCATCTTGAACACAGACACCCCTATAGTGATGGCTAATCTTCATTGTCAAGTTGGCAGAACTCAACAAACACCTAGGAGATTAGTGAACCACTTTTGGGTATGTCTGTGAGTTGTTTCCAGAGATGATTTGACTACTTGGCACATTCTTAATAGGATGGCATTACTGGGAAGTGGGGAAAGAACAGGTACAATCTAGCAGAGGAAGTCAGTCGCCAGGGGGATGTCCTTTGGGACAGATTAGTCCTGGTCTCTGTTTCTTCTTTTTCTCTTCTTCCTGGCTGCCATGATGTAAACTGCACTGCTCTGCCAAGTCCGCTGCTACCTCTGAATTTTTTTTCCCCTTAAGTTGCTTCTCTCCAGTATTTGGTCACATGATGCAAAAATCCAATATACCTGATATCCTACCCTCTAATCACACTGCACCGTCCTCTGGTTGATTCTTTTGTGCCCCCTTTGTCTGTTATACTGAGTTACCTTCCTGTTCTCCAGTTACCATGAGGTAAATATAAAAACACTAACAATTATGGAAGAGTGCTAGTGGCTCACACCTGTAATCCTAGTTACTCAGTAGGCTGAGATCTGAGGATCACAGTTCAAAGCCAGCTTAGGCAGGAAAGTCAGTGAGACTCTTATCTGCAATTAATCATCAGAAAAATGGAGTAGTACTGTGTCTCAAGTGGTAAAGCCTCATTTTGAGTTGAAGAGCTGAGGGAGAGCACCCAGACCCAGAGTTCAAGCCCCATGAATGACCAAAAAAAAAAAAAAGCTGAAAGTAGAGCTGTGGTTCAATTGGCAGAGTACTAGCCTTGAGCACAAAAACTCAGGGACAGTGCCTAAGCCCTGAGTTCAAGTCCCAGCACCAATACCAAAATGAATAAATGAATAATTAATAAGACAATGTTGGTTTTTCTAACTATAATGCTTATTCCTTTCCAATCTAGAAGGACCAATGGGTCTGACCTGCCCTAACATCCTGTCTGGCAGCAACTGTGATGTGTTTTCTATTTCTTCACTGAAGCTGCCCAATTTTTTTTAAAAAATTTATTATTTTTTTTAGTTTTTATTACAATTACTAAGTTAATTTTATTCTTCAGGATTCAAAACTTAGCAAATTAGGTCTGCTTTTATTATTTCATGAGCTAGAAGCCATTTTGTGTCTTTATTCTTCTAATAACGAGTACCTTGAAAAGCTCAATTGTAGATCAATCTTTCTATACTCATAAACCCAGCACTGTAAGAAGGAAGAAGCCTCCCCACCCCCAACATCACACTCTTTAGTTCACAGTCTCTGGTTCTCAGCATCTCTGGAAAATCCTCATCCTCTTTTCATGTCTTCATCAGATCTTCCATGCCGTCACTCACTTCATGTTCAGAAGACTGCTTCAATAAGCACATTGAGCACCTGACAGCGTCCTGCCTCTCCACCTCTCCACCTTCTACCTGCTCATGGATTTTTGCTAACTCAGACATGTTTTCTCTCTTTCTCATCATCTCTTCCTAATTCAGGGTATGAAGACATGGGTATTTCTCCAATTAAAAATCTAACACTCTATTACTTCTACAATTCTCTACAGCTTTTGCTGTTTCTATCTCCTCTTCAAAGTCTTGAAGAAGCCTTCTTCTTCTTGAAGTCTTCTTAAAGCCTACTCTTGCTGTCTCCTCTACTCTTTTTTATTCTCCTGGTGGTACTGGTAGGGTCTCGTGCTTCCTAAGTGGGTGCTCTTACCACTGAGTCATACCGCTAAACCATCTCCACTTCTTTGCCCCCCTCCTATTTTGTTCCTTAACTGTCTTCAATTTGGCCCTCTCCATACCCCATCTCTTGTAAGTAAACACACTGATATCTACCAAATGTCATTGACATTTTGTTGCTTTTATTTAGACTCTCTGCTATAGTACTTGAAGCTCACACTTTTTTTTTCTCTTGAATTCAGGGCCTTGTATTTGTTTTTTCACTCAAGGCTAGAACTTTACTCCTTGAGCCATGCCTCCAGTTTCAGCTTTTTTTGTTAACTTGTTTGCCTGAGCTGCCTTTGACTTGTGATCCTCAGACTGCAGTGCAGCCTCCTGAGTAGCTAGGATTACTGGTGTTAGCATTCTTCCACATCTTCATGTGCTCTACCTTCATCATTGGATCACTTCACTAATCTATCTGCTCTCTTTGCCTTTGGCTACTTATGTCCAATTTCTTGTCCACACTGCTGTCAAACGACTTCCTCCAAAGGCAGATCAGTTAATTTTGCACCTCAGCTTAAGACTCACAAATTCCCCAAAGCTGCAAGGATAAAAGTTGGACCTCAGACTGAAGCCTGCCCTAACTTGCTCTACCTTGATTTTCTGGCTTCCTACAGTGTCAACTGCAATTAATGACCATAGTCTACTACAGTGACTTCACACACCTTGTCTCTCCACCAACATTTTTATTTAGTCCCAGGTATACTTCTAAACTTAATGCGTCACCTTCCCTAGACAGACTTTCTCATCCTCAGATTTAGACGTGTCTCCTCCCCATACTGCCTTAGCCTTCCACAGCTATTTCTTACCACTTTCCAAACTGCTGATTTATTTGACTTCTCTCCAGCTCTTGAACACTTCTTGAGGCCAAAAAGCCTGCTCTTTGACTTTGAATCTCAAGCATGTGTCAGTAATTGCTTGTTGAATAAGTGGTGAGGAAGTTTATACTTGCTGGTACACCACCATGTAGAAAATGTTTCTTCCTGAATGGACTTACCATTCCACCAATGAGATTATTCCCTTGAATAAAGAGATATTACACAAATCCAGTTTTCCTAGGTAAACTGCCTTTACCTTCCCAAGTAGATTTTGAAAGTTATATAGATTTACTTCTTTTATTTTAATGATTTCCAACTTTCACACTTAATTATTTATTCTGACTGAAAATTTTCTGGAAAGTTAAGGGAAGCTATGTTTTCCAATGGACATACATTACCAATTTATTTATTTATTTTTTGCCAGTCCTGAGGCTTGAACTCAGGGCCTGGACTGTCACTGAGCATCTGTGCTCAAGGCTAGCGCTCTACCACTGGAGCCATGGAGCCACTTCCAGCTTCTTCTGAGTAGTTATTAGAGATAAGAGTCTCATGGGCTTTCCCACCTAGGCTGGCTTCAAACTGTAACCCTCAGATCTCAGCATCCTACATAGCTAGGATTACAAGCATGAGCCACCAACACCCAGCTTACCAATAATTTTTCATATTAATATTAGAAACAAGTTTCTCACTACTAGTTTTCAGCTTAGCCAGCCAAATAGACTATTCTATTTCAATTTGCATAAAAGTTATACATAGGATATAGTTAGGGGTGACTTTTCTATTAATAGTTTTCTATTTTAGTGTGTGTGTGTGTGTGTGTGTGTGTGTGTGTGTGTGTGTTAGTACTGGGACCTGAACTCACAATCACAACTGGCTTTTTCTGCTCATAGCTGGCACTCTATCACTAGAGCCATACATTTAGTTCCAGCTTTTGATTAGTTAATTAGAGATAAGAATTTCAAGAACTTAGGGGGGATAGAGGGATGGGGGGTAATATAGTCATGGAGATGGGAGGGCAGGGATAGTAAGGGAAAAACAAAGGAGGAGGCAACAATGCTTGATAAGAAATGTACTCATTACCTTGCTCATGTAATGGTAACCCCTCTGTACCGTATTTTCACAATTAAAAAAAAACATTAATAATAATAAAAAAAGAATCTGAAGAATTTAACTGCCTGGGCTGGCATCAACCTTGATCCTCAGATCTTAGCCTTAGTGGTTAGGATTATAGGTGTGAGCTACCAGTGTCCCGCTTGCATTTTCCTTAATACTTTCCATTAATAATTAATCATAATTGAAATGAATTCTAGAGTTTTTATGCCAACTTTTAAAAATTGCTATATTTTGTTATGGTTGTGGTACTGAGAATTGAATTCATGCTTTACCACTGTGTTATGCTCACTACCCTTAATTTTTTTTTAATGTTCAGCATATAATAGCACTGTTCCCAAGAAATTCCTCTGATGATGGAAATGTTCTCGACCTGTGCTGCCCAGCATGGTAGTCACTACTCATCTTTAGGTAGTATAATTTGAAGCCTACTGATCTTATATACAAACCTGTACAATTACATATCTCCTAGTATAAATCTTCAACTCACTGCTACATACTAATGTAGACATATATGCAAGTAATGCTATTCTGCTCAAAATTTGTCTGACAAGGGTGAGTTAGTAAATAGCAAAGGGAAAGGAAGTATCAAGGAGAAATACAATATGGATTTGGTCATGGAGGGAATGAGTATGTATTTGAACAATGATTACTTATGAAAACAAGAAGCTATTATTTACCATAGCTAAGATATGGAACCAACCCAGATGCCCCTCACTAGATGAATGGATCAAGAAAATGTGGTATATATACACAATGGAATTCTATGGCTCTGTCAGAAAGAATGTCATTGCCCCATTTGTTAGGACATGCAAAGACTTGGAAAAAATTATATTAAGTGAAGTAAGCCAGGCCCAAAGAAACATAGGTCCCATGGTTTCCCTTATTTGCAATAACTAGTATATGTCTGAGTCAAGGAGAAAAGGTCAGATAAGTTGATGTTAGGGAAATGAACCCCAAGGTAAGTATTCAAATGTTTTTTCTTTCATGTGATTGTTTCTAACATATTTATAAGATGATTTCTTTGTTGCTTTGTATGCCCCTCCCCCATGATATAACCCCTGCTTTCACTGTATTTTATGTTGGTATAATTTGTGTAGGGAAAGGGAAAAAAACAAATCATTCAAATAGGGATACAGGTGGACTCATTGCAACAATAAGTCATTATGTTGGAAAACAAACTTTACAACTTTGGCAGGCAGGGGGCGGGAGGTGGGGAGGGGAGGAGGAGATGGGAAGGGATGGGAGGGGGAAACAAAGGAGGATAAGAAGTGTACTCATTATCTTGCCCATGTAATTGTAACTCTCTGTGCAGTATTTTCACAATTAAAAAAATCATAAAAAAGAAAACAAGAATCTTTCTGTAACTGCCATTTTAGTGTTAGATCATGTGACATGCACCTGTAGCAAGAAATTTTAGAAAAATCTCAGATACACACATTGCAAAGAACCAACAAAATAACACAGGGCAAGTTTTAAGTGGTATTTACCTGAAGAGTGCTGAAAAAGTGAGCTGCTTTGATTTTTAGAGGCCCAAGATACCAGTACCTGAGAAGGACCACAATAAAAACCAGATTAAAATATATCATGACAGATAAGACATTAAAATTACGATTTGCTGCTCTAGAGGGTTTGAGGATGTGGCTCAACACTAAATTTTAAACCTGCAGTTTGATACCATGTCCCATGGTATGTGGTGAGATAGTAGATTCTTGCCACTTAGAAGTAATACCAGAGTCTACTTGAGTTTCCTAAATTCACAAGTGTCACTATAACGATGATTTTTAAATCATAAAATACAGTTGAGTGTGTAGTCAAAAGAGCCACAAGGACAGGATGATGAAGCTACATGGAGACAGTGCAGTTTCTGCACAATCAATATGTCACGGACTATAGGACGGAGCCTGTGCCACACATCCTTTCTCACCAACAAAACACACACAATTAAAATGAGTAAACTAGTATGAGATTGCACCACTCATGTTATACAGCTTTACCACAGCAAGTTTTAAGTATGGAGGTGAAGAGGATCTGTGTATTGCTAAATACCTAAAAGCTACTGGGGAGAAAGAGAGAGAGAAAGATGCCTAGTTTGGAATTTAAAAGTGACAACAGAGTAGATTCTTCTCTTAAAATTCTGTTATCAGTCATCTCTTCTTAACTGCTATTTATACTATGTCCATGGAGGGAAGATAAAGTATACAGAAGACATAGACTGTATAACTTTTCCAACTTTCAGAGCTTATGATTTGCGAAGGTTAAGTAATAAGTTACTATATGTGTCATGGTATAACCTGAACACAATTTTGTGGTAAGAGGAGTTAAGAAGGGACAAAAGGTCTAAAATCATAGGAGCAGCCATACGTGTAAAATGAATAGCACAAGAATAAAGTGAGGCATGGAGCCTGGACAACGTCTGGCACAGGGTGGGTTTATATATGGAACAGGGAAGGAGATCACCCAAGGCAGGAGCAAGGATATGGAAAACAGACTAACAACCAAACAACAACCATTTCAGGCTTTAGGGAAAGCCTAAAACAAAACCATGCATAATTATATAGCAAGGGTCAATGACACAGTAACTGGACCTGGAATTTGAGAATAGATATTTTTAGATATAATCCATATAACAATGGGCAATGTGGAACATTCTAAATTATTATTAAGGATAATACAGCTGATAGAGCTACTGGTCATCTGATTTTTGTTGTTGTTGTGGTGGTGGTTGTTTGTTTTCTAAGCTACTTTATAGTTTGCTACTTTTCCCAGTTAGCCAAGTAGAAAAACATCCTGACTCAGGCAATTTATTTCTAAATTGTCAGCAGTTCCCTTCACCTCTACCAGCAGTAAATCTTGACACTATGCTCGCAATCTTCCCATGGCCAGCCAGGGAATGATTTCTTGTGTCCTTGTTTTATACAAAAAAATAACTCAGTGGCCAGAGCCAGCCAAGGTATTCTATAACCACCACCAAATTTTGCTATTAAATGCTTGAAAGCCAGTCAAAGAACGGGAGGTGCCTTTAGACAGCTGTGCTTAGTTGTTGATTAACACATTTTGGAAAGCAATTTGTTCCCACTAGACTCTCAGAGAAAGCAGAGCAATCCTCTTGGTGAGCTCGGGGGGAATATGAGATCACAGAGCAAACCCAATGCAAGTTGTGAAATCAACATAATCATGGCATGTTTGCAAAAAAATGATATGAAATATTTAAGACTGCCATGCGTAATGCAATACAGCAGTATCTCTCTTTTGATATTCCACAGTCAGGAATTTTATTAGCAGGAATAATTAAATGAAACATATGAGAAATTTCTATGAAGGAAGGGTGGCAGGACGGCCTACAAAGTGCAGGAGGGGTTTCCTGATGAGAGAGTTGTGTGTGTTCACCAATCATAATTCAGCTCAACTATACTAAAACTAGGAGCCCTAGGCTTCAGGATAAGGAAAAAGTATAGCCATCAGGAATAAAGTGTGCTACCACACGAGGCCATGGCCTGTACTCACTCTCCACATGACTCTAAAGACACACTGTCTTTCCAAGCCATGGGTCTCATTTCATATAATAGATTCTCCAAAACGAAGGCTACTGCCATGGAAGTCAGCAGTGACCCTCTAGTCATCTCTACAGGCCAGCCCTTCCACCTCATAACACAGCTAAACTTCCACCTTTCTTCTGTCTCTAAGAGCGGGGAGCCTGTGGTCTCAATCTATGACACCTTAAAAAAAAAAAAAACACCTCTGAGCAGTTTTCCCAACCAACTATACATGGCTGAGACCAGGCAGACCTTCCACTTGATACCTTGCTAAGCCTGCAGCCAGATGACAGCCAGATGACAGTTTTCTCTTCAGTTCAGCTTGAGCCTAAACTACACTCCAATGTTATGTCTAAAAACAGGGATGTATCCTTCTCCCTGGCTGCCACCATGCTAGTGTTGAGGAAACTGGAATTTTCTTTGGCCTTTCTGCATATAGGATGCAAATTGTGACTTGACTATTCCTACCTCATAATTCATACCCATCTAGACCTCCAGATTTATTCCCAGAGCACTGTGTATTAAAATCTCAAAGTCAGGGACAGAAGGTTTTTACAATCATCACACATCAGCAGAGGAATGCTTTACTTGCTAATTTTGACGCCAGCATCTCTGAAGGATCCCCAGCGAAGGCCAGTCATTGCAAACACAGGTTGTTCTTTTTCACCCTGGAAATTAAATACATTTGATTTAGCTTTGTAAGTACAGTAACATAAGAATATTCTAAATGTGAAGTATCCAGAGCAAATTGTTCACAGCCTATTTCTAAATATATATGATTCAATATTCAAGAAAAATTAATCTTAAAAGCATGCTGGAAGAGTACTTGGACAATCCACGCTGTAAAAATAAAATTATTATTTTTGTCAGTTGTGGGTCTTGAACTTTGGGCCTAGGCACTGTCCCTCAGCTCTTCAGCTCAAAGCAAGCACTCCACTACTTGAGGCACAGTGCCACTTCCAGTTTTCTAGTAGTTTACTGGCAATAAGAGTCTCACAGACATTCCTGTCTGGGTTGGCTTTGAGCCACAATCCTTTGATCTCAGCCTCCTGAGTAGTTAGGATTACAGGTGTGAGCCACCAGCACCTGGCTAATAAAATTAATTTTTATGTAGTAGGTCTCACAAGCAGATTCATGATCTGCTGGCTAGGAACATATTCGCTATAAGGCTGAACAACACAACTAGCCGTATCCCAAGAGCTGAAAAGTATAGACCTTGGACACCTCTACATTTTGAAGATAGTTGCTGGACACAACTCTAGTTTTCTAAATGTCAGAAGAACCATCTCTATTTCTTCCACACCATTAACCACCATGACTAGCATAAGCTAAGTTTAAAACCTGGGGGTAAGGGGGTGGCCCTGGAAGTTGCTGGCCTGGAGAAAGCACGTTCTGCCTTCTGCTCACTTCTGCCTTTCACTCTCTGCCTACTATACCCAACCAACCATATGGAGAGGCACTGGCCTTTTATCCCTTTGTTCAGTATCTGTTCTGACAGGGCACTGGCCTTCCTGTTGTTTGTACTTGCATAAGCAATGGAAAAGGCACCTAGACTATGGGATGGCAGAGCAAGGAGGTGACAGACAGTAAAGAGAACATGTTAGTCTCTGAAGTGACAAGTGGACACTGTGGGATGCAGCAGGGCTTTGGGTCATCTTGTGACTCATCTAAGAGACTAGCACAGGGGCCACAGTGACTAAGCATCAAGAGGCTGGGTAGGCCACTGAGCTTGGGGGCTAGGGAGGGAGATGAAGGCAGTGGAGCTACAACAGATATTCAACCTCAAAACTCTTGTATTGGGAGACATTCCAAGAACTCACAAATGAAGCTGTTAAGAGAGGCACTCAGGCATCAGCAACAAGAGGGAGGTACAGTAGCACCTGCTGGGGATAAAGATCTCCCTCTAATCCTTCTATGCATCCATAGCAGGGGAGCTAGAAATAACATAAAAAGGAAAGAATGGAATGAAAAACCAGATATTCCAAAGATGCTGAGGGGAGGGGTGATTGTTAATGGATAGGAGATGAGAAAAGCTATCATAGATTTGGAGACATTTGAACACGAACAGCAAGCACATGTGCAGCACCAATAAGGCCAGAGAAATGACAGGAACCACACTGTATCTGGCCTTGAGGACCTTTGAATGACTTTGTTTTTGTACAGAAAAGTAATATACCACAGCCTGTGACTACACTGAAGACGGACCACAAAGAGGCCTGGGAAGATGGGAGACTGAAGAGGACCTGTAGCAATCCAGACAGAAGAAAGTTCCAGGACTTGCATGGGAACAAGAGCACTGGGAAGAAGTGCTGGACTCTAGGCATATTCTGAAGATAGCCATCTTCAGCTCCTAGCCGCCTGCGGGTGGAGAGGCAAGGATGACACCAATGGTTTTGACAGAAGCCAGTGTTATAAAGGCTAAGCAACCACGTAAAGACCGCATTATCTCTCAGAAACATCCCATGCTGCTCACTGAGGGCTCATAAAATGGCACTGTAACTTGGAGTAACGGTTTTGACACGAGAAGCCTCACACAACACCTAAGTGGTGTTAGGAAGTTTAATTGCTGGACGCTGGCCCCACTTGTGAAAACTGAGTCATCTTTCCTTCGTGATCATACTTCTCCATATGGTTCTCTATCCTCACCTCCTAGCAGCACACTGAGTGGCAATAGCCACACTTTATCTCTAATTAAGTCACCAAAATTACTACTGTTAATCACAAAATTAGGTGAAAGAGTTGCCCTGCAATTTAGTTCCTCTCACTCTAATCCCACAGCAATTCTCTTCAAGTAATTGTTTTCATTTGTCTCCCCAATAAATATTTATTGAACCCCCAACTCTGGACCAAGCCTTCTACAAGGGGCAAAGCTTAAAGTACAGCCAAGGACACACAGCTACAGACAGTAACAAGGTAACAGAAACAGTTCAAATAATACCAAGCATTAGGATGAGCTGGGGAAAACAAACCTCAGACATTATCTTAAGGTTGTCAGTATGTTAATGTATATTATACATTTCCAGAAGGAGAACAGAGCAAGCAGGTTTTCCTGAGTTGTTAAATGCCAATTGTTCTCTGGGAGGACTTTTTTTTTTTGTCGGTTGTGGGGCTTGAACTCTGGGCCTGGGTACTGTCCCTCGGCTCTTCAGCTCAAGACTAGTGCTCTGCCACTTGAGCCACAGTGCCACGTCTGGCTTTCTCTGCTTTCGTGGTGCTGAGGAATCAAACTCAGGGTCTCATGCATGCAAGGCAAGCGCTCTACCACTGAGCCACCTTCCCAACCCCTGGGAGGACTTCTGTATGCAAGGAGCACTCCCTGGGAGCTGCTGTTCTAAAACAACGCAGCCTAAACAAGGAGTGACTGAGCCATCAGGCCTCAACACGTGGATCGGTGCCCTAACTTAACTCCCTTTTCAGGAATTTTTAGGACTTTTACAAATATTCTCTAAGGATTGATGGAAAAGCCTTGTAACCACAATACTCCTTTGATGTGGGGAGCTATGTCCTAGCTAAAGGTGGAAATGGCTCTGGATAACATAATAGGCAACCAGCCCAAATGTGTGCGAAGAGCTGTAGAGAAGCCCAACAGCCAGAGAGACACGAGATGTGATGGCTCTGAAGGGCCTATGGTCAGTACTGGAGATGAGTCCCTGTGGAGGTATACATGAGCATGGGCAAAAGAAGCATGATTAGCTGGACAGAGATTAAGCCAACAAAGCGTCACCATATCTTAGTCCATTGGAATACACAGGTTATGAGATGGGCAGGTCAATAACGAAAAACAGAGGCACACAGCCATACCTTCAAACTGAGGGGAACATGCTGCCAAACTCATAGCCTTCCCAGGTTGGAGATGTACCCATTGCCTTCCTCCCTCTCTCTGCTATGAGGTCAACAGCTTCCTTCTCCACAGGATGTTCTGTGTCTCCCACCACCATGGTGCTCTGCTCCCCCTAGGCCCAAAATCAAGGCAGCCAGGAACTGTGGACTGAAACCATGAGCCCAGATAAATCTTTCTCTTTCAAGCTGTCTTCCCAGGTATGTTGGTTACTGCTATGCAAAAATAACTAGTAGAGTATTACGGATGTTTATACTGGAATAAATTGCTCTTTAAGACAGGGAATAAGACAGGTGACTCATGCCTGTAATCATATTCAGAAGGCTGAGATTTGAGAGTCATGGTTCACAGCCAGCTCAGGTGGACAAGTCCCTCCTTGTAAGACTCTTATCTTCAATTAACCACCAGACAACCAAAAGTGGTGCTGTGGCTTAAAGTGGTATCATTCTACTCTTGAGCTCAGGAGCTTTGGGGCAATGCTCAGGCCCTGTGTTCAAGCTCTACAACTGACCAAAATAAAAAAAGAGGGGGATAGTGATAGGTGTGATATTTTCTGAGCCAAGCAGTGAAAGGTAAAAGCTACAGATAGACTATGTAGCAGAAAATCTAGATTACAGCCCTGACTCCCACACAACAAGCGATATGATCCAATGATATAGAGAGAGAGAGATAAATACAAAATAGGTATATATGTTAAGTGAGGATAGTAATACATATCTTGACTTCCTCACCAAGTTGGTGGTTCAGTGGAGATGTAAAAGCACACTGAACAGTTAAAAAGGCTAAATAGCAAACACTATTGTAGCATTTCAGGACTCTATCTTACCTTTAGAGAATCTCCAGTTACTAATACATTAAGTTGCTTTTTAAAAGATGAAGAATTTGGTGTCAGGCTTCGTCTATAATGCTTACGGTATCAGGTTTTATCTACAGTGATTTCCTCCATATTCTGAAAGCAATTTCCAGAAATAAGGAGAAAAGAGAAAATAAATTAAACCTAGCTGGGTTCTTCAGAAAGCAGAGTCAAGGCTGTTATACCATGTTTCTGGGAATTAATTTGAAAGTTTTCTGCTTCCTGGCTTTGTGTCGTCAATACACAAAGCCTGTGGTAAATCTGACACTCGTTTAATCAATTCACAAAATCAGTCTATTTGAAAGAAAAACACAGAAGACTCAGGACACAAGAAACGTTTAGATGCAAGCACAGCAAGAATTTCCAGTTAAAATTTAATTCTTCTGAAATGTATCACTTCTAACATATATATATATATATATAATATATAGTATATAATATATATCTAAAACAGCAGTAAATCACTGTTATTAGAAGATACATCCTGACTCACCTCCTTTGGTAATAACTGTAGTTTTAAACAATATCTTCCTAAATGAGAATCGGTAGTATTTTTTCTTTCAGTACATCTTTATTATATACTAGAATATCAACTACAAATTAAATTACTTTTGTCATGACCACAAAGATTGGTCATGGTGGAGAATCTAGACATTGCTGCATAAAGAAGAAAAGAAAATAGAAGGCAAAAAAATAGTACACTTATCTCAGCAACTGTAAACATGCACATATCCCTTATTCAAAATGCTTGGTATCAGAGCATTCAGATTTTGGATTTTTCAGATTTTTAAACATTTACATAGACTTTACTGGTTGAACATCCTTAGTCCAAAAATTCCAAATCTGATATCTGAAATGATCCTAAATTTCAGATTTTGAAGTTTGTAGGATTTTGGATTTTGAACTTAGGGATATTCATCCAGTATAATTAACAGCAAGTTTGGGGAAATAAAATTTAGAATCATGGTACAATGTGGACCCTTCTTTTGCAAATACAAAGTAACCAATGAGTAAAAAATGCTCACCCTCAATATACATGGTACATTGAAGTCAAACCTAAATAAAGATTACATAGGGCTCACTATTTATAGGATGGGTGATCTAACTTCACGGTTTTGTCTCTTCGGGAATTTACTCTTTAGTGGGTAGGGAGGGAGCAAGAAAAAATGAAAAATAATTAGATGAAGAAAAACTAGTTACTTAACCACTATCTAACTGAAAATATTTGCCTTGTAGGAATTACATCTTTGCTTAAAAAAATGTACTTTTATTATCTTTAAGGAGCTGTACATAGGAGTTGCCATTTGACAAATTAGTTTATAAGCACAATGCATCTTGATGGATGTCACCCTTTCATCATTCTCCCTCATCTGTCCAAACCCAGCCATTCCCCTCAATTTTCTTGGTTTCATAGGATATGCATTAAATATCATGATTGCATTCTTCTCATCTACATTCATCTATTTCCCCACCCCCCTTGACTGCCCCCACACATCTATTAAGAGCCAGTTTTCTGGTATTCGTTTTGACTGTTACTTTGTTTTTCTAAGGAATTACATCACTTGAACTCTTAAATTCTTTTTTTCTTTTTATTTTTTTGTCGGTCATAGGGCCTGACCTCTGGGCCTGGGCACTGTCCCTCAGCTCTTCAGCTCAAGGCTAGTGCTCTACCACTTGAGCCACAGCGCCACTTCCAGCTTTTTCTGTTTATGTGGTGCTGAGGTATTGAACCCAGGGTCTCATGCATGCAAGGCAAGCACTCTACCACTGAGCCACTTTCCCAGTCCTTTAAAATCTTTTTTTTTCCCCTAAATTCTTTTTTAAGAGAAGATCTTGATCAAGAATTGAAAATGGCTTTCATCCTTTCCCTCTCTCAAATTTTTATTTTGAAAAAAAAGACATGACAAAAACTTAAATAATAAAATGAATACCATTTAGATCTCTTTCTTAAATTCACCATTGCCAGCATCTTCCCATATAAGCCTTATCTGTGTGTGTGTATGTGTATTTATGTTTGCAGTGTTGTTAAATTGCAAAAAGTTGCAGACTTCACATTCTAACATTTTAGCATACATCGTCTGAGAGCAATGATATATACAGGTATGACAATAACTCTTAAGAAATTAAACATTGTAGATGCTATCTTTCATTTTAAAATATTTTAATTGTTTTAATAATTCCCGAGAAGGCAAAAACTTTCAAGTCCATAATAACTGCCAATGGTTATCATTTTCCAACCCAAGATGTTTTACTGGATTTAGTGACATTTAATTTCCTTTAATCTTGAATGAACTGTCTACTTTCTTCTGTATTTCATAACTCTGTTTTTAAAAAGAGGATAGACTATCTCAAGAATTGGTTTTTCATGATTAGATCGAGAGTAGCATTTGAGCTGAAAATTGCATAAGCAATATTGGATACCAAAGGTTATCACATCAGGAGGCAGATAATGTCAGTTTGCTCAATTGTTGGTGATGTTAAATTTGATTATTTTGACAGGTAGCAATATGCCAGATTTCTATACTCTAAAGACACATTCTGCCAGGTGCCAGTGGGCTCACGCCTGTAATCCTAGCTACTCAGGAGGCTGAGATCTGAGGATCGCAGTTCAAAGCCAGCCTGGGAGGAAAGTCCGTGAAACTCTTATCTTTAATAAACCACTAGAAAACCAGAAGTGGCACTGTGGCTCAAGTGGTAGAGCACTGCCCTTGAGCTGAAGAGGGAGGGACAGCGCCCAAGCCCAGAGTTCAAACCCCACGACCAACCAACAAAAAAAAAAAAGACATATTCTTCCATTTTTAATTGTTAATAAATAATTTTGAGACTGAATGGATATTTATTTTCCAACAGCTTTATATTGCTTTTAGGATCCATTAATTAGCTCAACTTGAAAATGATCAAAATTGTGACCAAAAGATTGATAATGTTCATAATCTATTGTTCCTTCTACATTTAAAAGCTAGAAATTACTGGGAATTTAGAGATCATTTATTTTTTATGTAAAACATTATAATCCATCAGTGATATCATTCTTTTTGATATGTAAACTGTTCCGAAGTCAGTTTTCAGGACCTTCCAGGGTGGCTCATTTTTCTGTGATGTCCTCATCAGTGTTCGAGTTGTCTTGCTTTGTTCTTGTCCTGACTCTGAAAAGCATCTCCTCAGAATCCTGGCTATTTTTGTTAGGGAATAGTATTTAAAGACCAAAATCTGGGTACAAGTATGCTCATTACTGTAGGGTATCATGGCTTCTAAGTCCTTTCAGTGGGGATAGCCAGCAAACATATTTGCAAACCAATTAGCAAGTTTTATTATAGATCAACAAGAAAATGTTAGATATAACATTAAATAATTAAAATTATTTGATATAGCAAAAAACGGGGAGTTCTGTTCCCTTCTGGGATACAGAAAGTTACACAGAGATATCCTTCCTACTGTAAAGAGAAAAAGATAATCTACAAAGTCTGAACTTTTCTCAGGCCCATCTGAGGGCTGAGATTCTAAGATAGCTGAGTAACCTGAATTGCAAAGAAAGAGAAGCTGCTCCACTGGGGCAAGAGAAAGGCTTCTTTTGCCATTAGGAGAGTATGGGAGATACAGAAAACCAACGCACAAGCAGCCACTACCCTAAGTATTTTATATGTCTGAGTTCTCTGAGTATTCAAAGCAACTATAGGAGGTAGCAAAATTTCCTGTGTTGGAGGTAAGCAGTAAAATAACTAAAGAGAGAGAACTATATTAGAAAGATAGAGGTATTCTTAAATATGCCATAGAGGTCAAGAAGTAAGTTCCAAAACTGATATAAAGGCAGCATCACATGCTTACAGTACTAAGGTATACACTTAAAATGATTACAACAGTAAATTTTATGTTATGGACCTTTACCATAGATGGACCTTTACCATAGTATTTACTCATTTATTTTGTACTGTCCTGGGTATTAAACCCAGGGGCCTCAAATATGTTAAGAGCATGCTGTACCACTAAGCTATGCCTTCACTGCCTACCACAATATTTTTAAAAAATAAGTTCATAATCATATTAATGAGTGATAACAAAAACTTTTCATGGCAACCGGGCAATTTTTTTTCTGTGGGAATTAAAACTTAGGATAAGAGGGGAAGAAAGACTTCGATGCTCATTACATTAATCTCATTTGAATGACTGCAGTTTATTTATTTATTTATATTGTTGTTGGTGGTGGTGGTAATAGGACTTGAACTCTAGGCCTGGGCACTGTCCCTCAGCAATTCAGCTCGAGACCAGCGCTCTACCACTTGAGCCACAACATCACTTCTGTTTTTCTATCAGTTAATTGGGGATAAGAGTCTCACAGACTTTTACTGCCTGGGCTGGCTTTGAACCACAATCCTTAGATCTCAGCCTCCTGCATAGCTAGGATTACAGACATGAGCCACCAGAACCCAGCCAGTTTATTTTTTTTAACATAAATATGAGTGCCCAGGCCCAGAGTCCAAGCCCCACGACTGACAAAAACAAAAAACAAAAAATATGCATATGGCTTTATTACTTTGATGATTTAAAAAAAATCTATACAAAAGATTTTACCTTGATTTGTAAGACATCAAGTGGTACCGTCTCTCCTTTCACAATGGCAAGTGTGGCATCTGTAATATGTCTAAAGAGAGGGGAACAGAAAGAAAATGATCATGTTATGGAAAATAACACCCCCTGATGCCCACTTCACACACACACACACACACACACACACACGGCTGCCCAGAATACTAGCAGATGGAGAAAATGATCATGTTATGGAAAATAACACACACACACACACACACACACACACACACACACACACACACACACACACACACACACGGCTGCCCAGAATACTAGCAGATGGAGAAAATGATCATGTTATGGAAAATAACACCTCCTAATGCCCACTTCACACACACACACACACACACACACACACACACACGGCTGCCCAGAATACTAGCAGATGGGCCAGGCAATAAACAAAACTGTGTTTTTAAATGGTCCAAGAAAACAGAACAAAGTTGTTGTATGAGACAATTACTGATAAAAGTACAGTAGAAATCTCAAAGAGAGCCTCTGGCAGGAAGTTTACACCAGGTATCAATCATTTATTTCTTTAATATTTACCCTCCCCATTGTGCCTCATATTTATCATGGCAAACTAAGGTACTTAAATAATAATGAAACATCTTTTAGTTATTGTAAGAAATTCAGGCACTTGAAAAACATTCCTTTTTACTCAGCCACCAGAACGGTGACTAAAGGACAGAATTTGTTGCCGCTATCTAAGCAAAATATGAGTCAGGCCTTAGACATATTTCTCCAGTTTCCAGGACTCTGAAGACACGCTTCATTTTCATCTCTGATTCTTTTGTTCAAAGACACGAGACTATTCTTATGTATGATTTGACAATCTTTTGAAAAGTCTGTATGTAAGAAAGTACTCATCAAAAGGTATATACCATTGATATCCATTCAGAGCTTGTGAATCTGACAGGCTTAGAAGCAATTGTGGAGTTGTATTTTACTTTGATTCAAGAGTAGCCACACAGAAATGCACAACATAGAGTCAACAAAAGAAACGTTACACCAAGTGGCTAGTTAATAAGATACTTGCTCTCAGAGTAGAGAGAATAAGCTGACTCTCATCAAGTACTTCCTCGGAGTGTCTGCCTGCCCCTCCCTTAATCTAGCCGTTGACTTGCTGTTCTCATCCTTCCAATCTGACTGCATTTCACCATCTCAGAAAGGCCCGCTCCATCCAGCCCTAGATCCTTTTCCACAGTTCCTTATCATCTATTCACTACAGATGATAAATCAACTTCTATACTCCTTCCTTACTCTGCCCTTTCTCCTTCTCCTCCTCTTCACCCATTTCTCTTTTTTTTTTTTTTTGACAGGGCCTCACTCTGTATTGCAGGCTGGCCTCACACGCACAATCCTGCCTCAGCCTCTCAAGTGCTAGGATTGCAGGCATGCACTACAACAACAGCTCTATCATGTGTATCTCATTATCATCTGCCATCCAGAGACTGAAAAATTCCACAAGCTAGTGCCAATCTAATGTTCACTTACTGACCAAAATAAATGCTGCATTAGCACAGGGCATGGTATAATACACACAGCATTTGTTGAATGAATAACTTTATAGAACTTCAATATATAAAAACTACAGCGAATAGTGTAACATGAATTCCTTTATATCTTTATATTCCTCAACAGTTAACATATAGCCAACCTTATGTCCCACACCTGCCCACTAACTTGTACCAATTAAAGCAAATCTTAGATACTTTACTATTTCAACCATAAATAGTTCATTATATATATGTACAAAAGACAAAGATTTTTTTTTTTTCTGTCGGCCTGAACTCTGGGCTTTGGGCACTGTCCCTCAGCTCTTCAGCTCAAGGCTAGAGTTCTACCACTTGCGCCACTGCGCCACTTCTGCTTATGTGGTACTGAGGAATTGAACCCAGGGCCTCATGCATGCAAGGCAAGCACTCTACAACTGAGCCACCTTCCCAGCCCAAGACAAAGACTTCTGAGTTGGCTTGTGTGTTACAAGTTTTCTACTCTATAGCTGTACTCTTAATTTCACTGTTTGTCTTAGTGACTGTTTGAGGACTTATATTTTACTGATTTTAGCCCTTAAGGCATTAAAATACATGGTCACTACTTGTATTTTCTGATGATCTGTACTGAGAATAGGAAATCTGCTGCTAATTCAGCTTTTGAGTTTTTGGCAACACCAATCCCCATGTGGTGGCATGCTCTTCCATCAGGAACTCCGTAACATCTGGTCATCTCTCGTTCTGTGATAATTGCAGCCAGTGAAAATCACTGCCTAGATTCATCAAGCAATGAAGTTCCAAACTGGCAATCCTTTCACTCTGATAACCATTCTAATTTATTATCTACTCTACTAAGAAATTTGCCCTCATTAACAAGCTAGACACCCTGTAATACAGATAATATGGGAAAGTCAGGACAAATGATTCTTTAATTTTCGAGTTAACAGGATGATTCCCAACATCATCTCAAAGTGCTCAGTTTAACATTTTTATTTATTTTCTCAGTATCACTATGAAATCATTCATAACCATATGTACCTGGTATGTTTCAATTTATTAGTCTTATAGTCAAAGTATTACTGTTGCAAAAATCTTCTATGCTGTCTTTTTATACCTTCCCCTCCATCCCTGGCCGCACTCAGCATTGTCTTCTCACCCGAATTTTACCTGATCCAGATTGCAGTTCAAATTGAATTAGTAGCAACAGTGGGGTATAAGGGTCAATATATAAGTGATGAAAGGTCATTTTAATGTTAAGCCAAGTTGAGGAGGTAAGAACTCTTCCCTGAGGCTTACCCAAGGAGGTAGAATTAGCTAAGTTTGAAAGAACCACTTTGATTTTTTAGGTCCTTCTTAGATTCATGGCAAAATGAAGGGGATTGTACTGAGATTTTTCCACCTATCCCCTGTCCCCACATTCATATACCCTCCTCTATGATCAACAACCCCTGTTACACACATTTGTCACAAGTGATGAACTTACACTGGTGTATCACATTCTACCAGTTTCCATCAGTCTATGGGTCTGGTCAAATGTAAACTGGTACATGTTTTCCGCTGTAGTATACAACCAATCTGTTTCATTGTCCTAAAAATCCTCTACTCTTGTTTTTGTATACCCTCCCCTTCAGCCCTAGCAGGAAGCCACCCTTTTACTACATTCAGTTTCATCGAATCAGAACAAACAGTTAGAATCCTAATGTGTAGCCTTTTTCCATGAGCTTCTTTTACTCAGCAATATGCATGTAAGTTACTGTATGCTTGTTTGAGGTTTGATCATACATCTTTCTATAACTGAACAATATTCCACTGTCTGCATTAACACAATTTGTTATTCCATTAACCTATTGTCTATTCTTCTTGTATGAATGTCAAGTTCTATCAAGGAAGAACCAGTCTATTTTACTGAGGCTATCAAATTTATTGATAGAGTTGTTCATACTATGTATTACCCCTTTAATGATCACAGAATCTGTAGCAATCAGCTCTCTTTCATCACTAATATTAGTAGTTCGTGTTCTTTTTTTTTTCTCTTTGTATGTGTGTGCAGTACCAGGGTATGAATTCAGGGCCATCTGGTTACTAGGCAAGCATTCTACCATTTGATCCACCCTTGTAGTCCTTTTTGCTTTAAGTTAATTTTCAGATAGGGTTTTGAGTTTTTACCTGAGACCAGATCACATCCTAATTCTATACCTCCACAATCATTGGGATTATAGGTGTAAGTCACTGTACCCAGACTTTTTTTTCTTACTTAAGCTAACTAGAGACTTCCTGATCTTACTGAACTCTTCAAGAAAAAAAAATTGAGTTTTTAAATTTTTTTGCTATTTCCAGTGTTCAATTTCATTGGTTTCTGCTCTAATTCTTATTCTTTTATTCTTTCTACTTTGGATTTAATTTACTGTGCATTCCTTGTTTGCTATAGTGGAAACTTTGATTATGGTTCTTCTTTTTTAATTTGTACATCCAGTGCTGCTAATTTCCCTCTAAGTATAGCTTCTGCTGCATCCCATAGATTTTGCTAAGTTGTGATTTATCTTCATTTAGTTCAAAATACTTCTGCATTTCACATCAGTTTTTTTCTCTTATACATGTGTTAATTAGAAGTATATTATGCCATCCGGGTGCCAGTGGCTCACGCCTGTAATCCAAGCTACTCAGGAGGCTGAGATCTGACGATTGTGGTTCAAAGCCAGCCCAGGAAGGAAAGTCTGAGAGATTTTCTTATCTCAATTAACCATCAGAAAACCAGAAGTGGTGCTGTGGCTTAAGTGGTAGAGTGCTCACCTGGAGCTGAAGAGCTGAGGGATAATGCCCAGGCCCAGAATTCAAGCCCCGACAAAAAAAGAAGGATGTTACATAATCTTCACAGATGTTGATTCTCTCATTATCTTTCCAATAATTCACAACTTTTTCTCTCTGTATGATCAGACAGGCCAGTAAGGGTCAGCTGGAGTTGGGCATTTTTCTTCTCCACACCAAGGGCTAGAGCTGACTGGAGTTCAGCATTTCCCTTCCCCTATGTCTGTAAGCCCTGGTTATTCCAGGCTCTGCTTCACTACTTTCTCCTAAAAGGCAGACCTTGGAGTGTATCTCAGCTGTTTCCTTTTCCCTTATCCATTGCAGAAACATGGGATTTTTCTCTGATATTTACGATGGGATCCTAGTTAAGCTCCCAGAAGGAGCTCACAATATTGTTGACTACACAGAGCCTCCAGCCTTGGTCGCCAATAGTTCACTGGCTCTATTCATGAGTCTCTCAGACGTGACCCCCTGTTTGGATGTATCAGTATTTGTTTATCTTCTCCATTAACCAACTGAAAGATAGACCTTGGCAGTATCCTAAGTTCTAAGTTTCTAAAAACAGCCAGATGTAGGTTTTTGTGTGAACATGTATCTTCATTTCTTTTGGCGTAAATACCTAGAACTATGACTGGTCACATAGTAAGTATGAAACTAATTTTATAAAAAAAAAAAAGCCACATCATTTCCTGTAATATCAGTGCTGGCAATGGGAATTTTCATTGCTGGACACACATCAGTAGCTTGGTGC